ATTTTACATGAGGGTTTGCTGCTTGATATCAGTTAGAAATGTGTATATGTTGAATAAATTATTATTTTTAATAAAACACATTTGAACTAATTTTACCATTTTCTTCAAAGGATCTGGTTTGGTACTTGTCTTTCTACCTTCGCTTCTTCTACTTTTATGCATACCTGTATGGATTTCTTGGCTCGTTGGCACTCATGAACTTTGTCAGGTAAACGTGCATACAAATAAACATATAACATATGAAAGGCCCTTTTTTAATTAGATAAACTTTTGTAATTTCCCTTGGTGAAGTTTTTGTTTATTTGACAGGTTTTTAGACAGTCAGTGTTTCGTGTGGATCAGTCAGATCAATCATTTACCGATGGACATTGCGTACGAGAAGCACCAGGACTGGTTGACCATGCAGGTACCTGGATTAAAATTAAATTTTGACTTCCAAAAAACAGACTTATCTCAGCCATTGCAACACACTGTATGAGCAATATTGTGGTTTCATTATTGCTAAATAACTTTTCGGTTATACTCTAAAGTATTTTGTGCACGTAAACTCTTAACCTGCCTGAAATACGGCAATCATTTGTATTGTTTATGAGAAGTGCCCACATCATGCCAAGATCAGAATGCRGAGTTGTTTTTCTTGAATAAGGTGACCAATCAGAGGAGACTTTTCAGATGAGAAGCCATAAAATGACAGCATGAAAGATAAGGCAAGATCAGGCCAAGAGAAGATGGCATGATAAAAACAGTTTGTGGTTGTAAATATAAACAGGTGTTTTTAATGTAAAGACGTTCTGTAAACGGGTTTGAACGATTCATTCTCCTTTAAGTTTCTTTATTGTAACGGTGCAGCAGTACCATCATAAAAACATCAAATTTCATAGCTTTAAGTCGGGCATTGTTCAGCTGGGGGAGCTGTAGGGCAAGCCCTTTGAGCATTTATTCAATTCTTCTTTTTTCCTCTGCTATTTTTCTGTGCTCGGTGTCTGCCATACAGTTTGAGCTACTATTGATTATGGCCATTACCACCATTTGTGTTTTTACACATGCTCAGCTCTGATAGTGACCACTTGCTGGAATTAAAATGATTCTTTAAACAAATAAAAATTCCATAAAGTCATCATAGTAAGGTGTTAAAACTAGCTTTTTCTTGGCGGATATATCTGTAAAGTTTAKAAATTCTTCTAAATACAACCTAAAAGAGCTGTCATTAGTCACATATAACATATGATGCTGTATGACCTTCAAAATCTATACATAGACAAGACATTTGGTCTACCTGCTCAACTTGTGAGTTGTTAAACTGATCAATTATTTATGTGTCTTGTTATTTCTTTCTTTTTATCACAGCTTAAAGCCACCTGTAATGTTAAGCAGTCCTTCTTCAACGACTGGTTCTGTGGACACCTCAACTTTCAGATTGAACACCAGTGAGTCAAATGATTTAGTTTCAGAAACTTTCCCTGTGTTGTAATGGTGCGTTCACACCAAACGCGATTTCAGCGTCAGGAGCAGCAGGTTTACATGCAAAGTCTATGGTGGAGG